AATAAATTAGTTTGCTTGAAGTTACCCATTCACAGTCAACAACGTTCTTCATTTATTAAAAGTCAGGTTCCCTGTGGATGTTTTTAGTAGTGGAAGAATTTAAAATAAAATAATTCTATACATACTGCTTACTGTGTCTGAGCTGAATGTCAGATACCAAAAAGGTGGCAGCTGTATGAGGGAGATGTGATTGTCAAGGCATCGATGCTTGTACCACTTAGTAATCCTTGCTCTTAATTCCTAGCAAGATAATGATATTTTTATTCTTTTGTTCTTATTTTGTGTTTTTTTGAGACAGGATCTCACTGTGTAGTTCAGGCTGGACTTGAACTTGTGAAGATCCTCCTGTCTCAGCCTCCCAAGTGCTGGAATTACAGGCATGTGCCACCACTCCCAACAGTATTTTTATTTTTAAATCTTTTAAATTTTGACATTAAGCTTGTATGTTTTGTGTTTAAAGAAATAGAAGAAACTTAAGTAGACCAGTTTGGCCATGGGACAGGGTTTTCTGGGTAAACATAGGATGTTGCTGCTCCCTTCTTGTTAAATCCAGGTTATTTGAAGGCCATCACATTTCCTTGTTGCTGTGGATATTGTAATGAGGGAAAAGAAGAAAACTGTTCCTAGCTTGATAACACTAAATGTTCGATTTTGCAGTACTGGATCATACAGTATAGCAAGGAAAGGAGATTTATCACTTCAGCTGTCTTCCTACTTCACTAGCTAAGGCATTTCTAATCTTCATTTTGAGTCAAGAACTGAGTGTCTGTCTCATCAGCTTTAATATGGCAGTTGTGAGCAGCCCTAGCATGGCTGGAAGTAGTAATTTTTTGAAGCAGGCTTTGGCTCTCAATTTAATGGAAATGTCATTGATTTAAATGTACAGCATAATAGGATAAAACACTTTAGTATTTAAAATGTTTTTTTTTCAATGTTGTCTATGTCTTTGTGTTAGAGGAGCACACATTTTAGTTGTTTTTTTTTGGGGGGGGGTGTCTTTTTTTAGTACCAGGGATTGAACTCAGGACCTTGTGCTTGACAGGCAGGGCTGTGACACTGAGCTACATCCCCACACCACATTTTAACATTTTTGAAACTGCATAATAATGGTGTATAAGATAAAATGTATCCCCTGACTCTATATTCTTAGATATAATTACTTATTCTAGGACTAGGACAATAAAGACTTTCTGTCATTTCACACAGATAAGTAACATTAATTATAAATGAGAATTTTCAATTTTTATTGGAAAGTCATTTAAGAACGTTGCACAGAAAATTTGTATCTCTCTATATATGCATAGCTTTAAAGGATTAAGTATTACTTTGTATATTTTAGAAAGATTTTAGAATTTTAGAATTTAGATTTTAGAATTTTAGAAAGATTGCTTAATTATGGAGTTTGGTGCTTAGGTGAATCTGTCATTGAATATTTCAAAATAAAATAATGAAGTTAATTTCTTATGTTTAACTTTATAAGTAAAGAAAAGTATCATCTGAATTCAACTTTTGTAAGCTCCTAATTAATGCATACAAGGTAGAACTTGGATGACTATGAAGACATGGAAGAGTAATCTCAAAAATTGTCTTTGCCACACATTGATGGGCTTAAGTTACTCCCTCTGCAAGATTTGAGGATGGAAAGATACAAGGTAGCGTTTGAAGTGGTCGATCCTTTTGCTTTTTTCCTTTGTGAGACAAACTGTCAGATGGCAGCTCTAAGGGTAATTCGTGTCTGCACTGTTGAAATTCACCTGGAATAGCCAACTCTATTTGGGGTAGTATGGTTTAGGTCATAGATGTTTCTCATTCTTAGTTTGTCCCATTATAGGAGCAAAAGAAAAGAGTCTTTAGAGCAGTGTTTTTCAACCTACTGCTTTGGTACAACATGTATTTTATGCTATGATCCAGACTTGTGTGTGTGTAAAACAGTTCACACATACTTACCCTTATTTTGTGTAGTGCACTCTGCTTCCTTCCTCCTTTCCTCCCTTTTAACTAGTTGTAGTCTGTAAAACAGATGGCAGGTGGGTCACATCTGCAGTTTGATAAATGTTTAGGATATTCCCTTATTGTTCCCTTAACGTTTCCCTGTACCCCACACAACTATACACGTGTTTTCTATTATACATTTCCTGGGGAAATGGTTGATGAATAATCATTTAAATTATGGTGGGACTGAAATCTCAAAAGAGAAACTCTTAGGACATAGATACGTGAATATTTGGAAGGAAAGATTTTCCAAATTGTGGGAGTTCTGTGAGTAGGAGTTGGAATTATTGAAGGGCCTCTGGGTTGTTTGATTTGGCTTTTTCGCCCCCTTTCAAACAACTTTTTAGTCAGCAGTACTGAAAAGGGTAACTTTAATTTGGTGGCAAAAGCATCATAAACCAGAATTTGGATTTGAATTTAAAAAAAAAATCATTTTAGATTGAAAGTGTTCTGTATTCTTAGACCACAGAATGTGACTAGGAATGCATTCCTCATAGGTATGAATACTGTTTATGTTTCACTCCTGTGAAAGAATTGAGTAAAGTATTATTCTAAAGAGGTGATTCTAAATTTGGATTGCATAAAATAATTCATATAGTCTTCCCATTTGGCACATACTGTCCGAGTTTCAGTTAATTTGTAGAGTGAATAAGTCTGGCCAAATTATCTGAAGGTGTTCTGATTAATTTTGAAGTGGCTAGTAAGCATAAGAAGCTGTCCCACAGTACTGTGTGCAGTGGTGTGACCAGCAAATTGCTTTCCCAGGAAGCTGCTAGGATATTGTCCTGGAATATTTGAAGTTTTCATATGTATGTTTGCTGGATTCTCAGATTCCCTAGTCAAATCAAATGTATATAGTAACACAGGTTATCCAGTATTGAATGAATAGAGGAAAGAAGGAAGGAGGGAAAGGAGTGGGGGGAGGAGGAAGGAAATTCTAGTTTAATCACTTGCAAAGAATTGATTTCTTTGTTACTAAAATCTGTGCTTTCAGCTGGGCTTGGTGGTGCATGCCTGTAATCTCAGCACTTGGAAGGCTGAGGTAGGAAGATCCCTGGGAGTTGGAGGCCAGCCTGGGCTACATATGAGTTCAAGGCCAGCCTGAACTACATAGTGAAACCCTGTCTCAAAAAACAAAAACAACAAGAACAAAAATCTGTGCTTTGAAATCATTCATTCATTTATGGTTCTGAGGATTTAAACTAGCTTGCAAGGTATGTGCTGTACCAGTGAACTACACCTCCAGTTCCCAAAATTACTTTGAAATCCTTTTGCTAAGCAAGATGAGTTTAACTGACACTGAAGGGTTAAAAGTAAAAGAATAGAGAATGTGAAGTTGATTATGTTAAACTTCTGAAAATTATGTTTTCGTGTAATTAATTATAGGCTAACATTTCTTTTTTGAGGAGGTTATTAAAGAATAGGTTATCTAGGGCCAGGGATTTAGCTCAGTGGTTCCTGCACCTGCCTTGCAAGTGCAAGGTCCTGAGTTCGATCCCCGGTACCAAAAAAAAAAAAAAAGAATAGGTATCTACCTAAAGAATAGGTATTTAGTAGGTATTAAATTAGTAGGCTGATTGATTTAAAAATACAGAGACAATAATGACTGAAAAAAGTAAGGTTGATACATGTCCTTAGAAATTACACATCTGGGCCGGGCGAGGTGGCATATAAACCTGTAGTCCCAGTATGCTGGGAGGCAGAGGCAGAAGGATAAGAAGTTCAAGCCTAGCTTGGGCAGCTTCAAAAATGGAATGAGGAGGATTCCACATCTGTAATAGTAACAAAAAGTGAACACATAACAACTAAGTTCTGAATTTGTTAAGTTTGATAGCAGAAATGGTCTTTAGGAATAGTGTGAGAATTGATGAATGAATGATTTATTTTTTAGAGACATGGACTTTAGACTTACTTGAGAATATAGTAGTTGCCATGTCCTATATAATATATATATATGTATTTTGTACCAGGGATTGAACTCGAGACCTGGAACCACTGAGCAAAATCCCCGGCCCCTATATAATATTTTTTAAAAGAAAGAGAATGTAATGTATAGCTATGACTTGGGCTCCTGAGAACTAGAGAAATTTTATATTGAAAAAGTAATAATTTGGGGAGAGTCAGGAGGAAAAAGAAAATGTATTAGTTAACTTTCCTGTTGCTGGGACAAAACCTCGTGCCCACAACTTAATGGAAGAGAGGTTTAATCTGGGTCACTGTTTTGGTGGATTCAGTCCGTGGTAGGCTGGTTGCAAGGCAGAAATGGTATGGTAGAAGAATGTGGCAGTGCAAAGCTGCTCACCTCATGGTGGCCAGGAAGCAGAGCGAGAAGGGAGGAGTTGGGACAAGAATACACCCTTCTAGGTCACAGCTCAGGGAACCCACCTCCAACAGGCTGTACCATCTAACAGCACATTCAGCCGTGAACTCACCAATGTATCAATCCACTGATGAATACAGTGCCCCATGATCCAATCATCTTCCAAAAGCCCCACTCTGAATACATGAGGCCTTTGGGAGGCATTTTAGTTTCAGACCTTAGCACATATCCATTTCGCTGGATTTTTCAGTGGTGTCTGATGTGTGGGACTGACACTGTGTTCATGAAGACTCCAAGGCCTTCCCCAGCTTCACTAACAGGAGTACATAATGTTAGCTAGGAAATAATACATGCGTTTCCTCACACGGTGTAATTTCATATATCATTTGTCATGGTTAAGAACAGTGAAGAGTTAAGTTTGTATATTCACTTTTGGGATTCTAGTGTGCAAGGATTGTCGGTGCAAGTTCAAGGACCATATTTGGGGCTGGAGATGCCCCTTGGTTCCAGCACTCCAAAAAAAGAACCATGTTTTCTTGTTTTTTGTGTAATAATACATACTCAAGGCTTCATTTCACTATGTTTTATAAGCTTTGTTATACTAACCTTATCAAAAGTTTGCATAATTAATTGAAGCTTAAATATTTGCTTTAAGAAAATTAATAAATTTGATTATTTACTTTAAAAGCTACAGAAGAAAGAAGATCAACAATTGGAGCCTAAAAAAAGTACCAGCCCTAAAAAAGCTGCAGAGCCCACTGTTGATCTTTTAGGACTTGGTAAGTAATAAAAAATGAAAGCCACTTATTGCAGTTACTTGAAATGAATAAAATGGCTTTATCATACCAAAGGCTACCTTTTAGCTGAATTTGAAAATGGTATGATTAGCTTGCTGAGTTCCCACCAATAGGAAATCTTTAATACAGGAGCCAGTATATGTCAGTACTGTCTTCACTGAGACACAAGTAATGAGTTCCTTGAGGAAAGAGATATCAAAATAATCTTCAAAGGCTTGGTAGGTGTGACATTTCAGCATTTAGATAAAAAGTGCTCTTGTCCTCTCTCTCTCTCTCTCTCTCTCTTTCCCTCTCCTGCCCTCCCTCCTTCCCCTTTCCTCTGCCCCCCCCCCATTTTTTTAGTTTTGGGGGATACTGTCAGCTCCTTTTACATCTTCTTTTCCTTCTGAGAAAATTGGCTTGATAAATGTTTATGTTTATTAATATCTGAATCTTTGAGCAGTGATTAACAGAAAAACCTGTTTTGGTTTTAAGAAAGATTAACAGCAGAAAAAAATGAAAGGCAGTTTGTTGAAGGGTAGTTGAATTTCATACACTACCTCTCAAAAAGCTGATCTTAGTTCTTGAGTAAATTGTTTTCTGTTTTAAAAATTCCAGTTGAATGTTTTATTCATTTCTTAGGAAGTGGGTATATCATACAAATGTACTCCCTGGAGGTAAAATTCTTCTATGATGGTGAAAAGTAGTATATAAGAAATATATTTTTAAAAAGCTGTAATTTTAAGGGTTCTAAATTAATTATGTTGAATTCGAGACCTCATAATTTCTGTATTTTATTTCCTTTGCTGTAAATGAGAGAAAAGCAGAGAAGATTTATTACAAAATGAGGAGGAAGTATTTTTACTCTGAGTCTGTCGTCACTGCAGCATTTCTGTCCCAGCTAATATGTGCCTGGTTCCTCAGTTTATAACTTAGAAACGTAAGATACAGACCAGACTTGATTCTTATCTCACAGGTTCGTTTATTAATTCAACAGATACAGCATTAGTGACCTGAGTGTGTCCAGGGGCCCTTGTAGGCACCAGGAGGGATAGTTCTGAAAGGAAGCGCTAATCATCACTGTCTCCCAGGAGCTTTCATTCTATCTGGGGAGACAGTGAATAAATGATTGAATATATATTATAGGTCATAAGGGGTAAAGGGGGTGGACAGGGAGGGGTTGTGGAGGTGTCATGAGAACAAAGGAGGCATGATGTCTGGTTTTACGACAGGAGCGTTGCAGACAGAACTGCGAGCACAGAGGCTCTGCTGCAGCGGCCTGAGGAAGTGAGCGGGAGCCATGGGGACAGCAGTGTGGCCAGAGGGCTTGAGCTGGGGAGAGCAATGATAGGAGACAGGGAAGTGAGGGGCCAGGAGGGTGCAGAGTGTGACAGGACCTAGGCTTTTACTTGGAGTGGTCTGGAAACATGTTGGAGAGATTTATAAAAATGTAACAAACTGATTTTAGCATTTAAAGAACTACTGGGGCTCCAGTGTTGAGAAAAGACTGTAATAGGCTGAGGCCAGAGGCAGAAAGAACGCTTGCAGTACTAAATGAGAGATGATGGTGGCTTATCCTAGGCGGTGGCTTTGGAGGTTGTAAGATGTACTAAGCAGATTTGGGATATATGTTGAAGATAGGTACAGCAGGATTTGCTGAACAACTGAATGGGAGAAACGGGAGAAGAGGGGAGAATGGCAGTGTTTGGGCCTGACCAATCCGGGCAGAGTTGCCACTTGATCAGATGGGAAGGTCTGCGGAAAGTCCAGACGTCAGTGCACGAGTTTTGCTTGGGTCATAACAAAAATCCTTAATTTTAATTAATAACGCATGAATAAAATGGTTATTAGACCAAAAATGTTAAAAAGAAAATCTCTTATTTTAGACAGTTACATGATTGTGAGTTTGGGGAGCAGTCTGGGCAGGGAATATAAAATTGGAAGCCATCAGCGTGTAGCTGTTGTTCCGGTATAAAACTGATGAGGTCACTAAGGGAGTGAGTACTGACGAAGAGAAGAAGTTCCGGAGCTGGACCCGATGCCACTCAGGTGTGGAGAGCCCAGGCGAAGCAAGGGAGCAGGAAGGGGGGGAGGCACAGCATTCGGTGGCGTGCACTTTATGAGTAGAGTCAGGCTATGATTTCTGCACCATACTAGATGATGCTGTGGGAATAAACTTCCTCAGACTGTTAGAGGTTTGCAGAAAAAATTTTCACTCATGCTGTGTCCATTTGAAATTAACCGACGCTCTGCTTCTTTCTTCACCTCAGTCCCCAGGTTAATAGAGCAGTCTCTCTCCAGAACACGAGTCGGCAGCCCTTTTATTTTAAATTAAAAGACAGGAAGTGCCGCAGGCTTTGTGGGCCTTGAAGTCTCTATCATAACTGCTTAGCTAAAGAGAATACATAGATGAATTGACATAACTATGTTCCATTAAAACTTTATTTACACAAAAGTTGGAAGGCCAGATTTGGCTTGCAGGCCATAGTGTGCTTGTCCCTGATCTTACACTGTGGGTGGTCAGACAGCACAGACAAATCTATGTCAGTTCTTAAAGGTTATGTTCTGACTGCCATATTTAATTGGTGACATTTTCACATGGCCATGGTTTCACTGAGCAGGAGAACGTCCACCCTCAGGGAGATGTCACCAAATATGCAGACTAAGGAAGAAAGCGTTATGGAGAGGCAGGAATAAATAGTTGTCCCAAATCTGGCTCATCAAACAAAAGGAACATTTGAGAAATAATCACTAGATTCAGCAACCAGAGATGACAAGAGTAAATTTGAGGTGGTAGAAGTGTAAACATGATTTATATGAGTTCAAGAGAGAACCGAAGGAAAAAAAAAATAGATTGAATAAATGTGTATGTGGACTCATATGTATTTAAATTTCTTTTGCCATAAAGAGGAGAAACGGAATGGTAACAGGAAAAGTAGGCAGGAAAGGACCTCCCCTGCCAAAGATGACATTACAAGATGTTTGCTGTTGGAAATGAACTTGTAGGGCAGGCAAATCTGATAATTCAAGACAGGGAAAAATGTTGTAACAATGTCCTCGACTAGCCAAGAGCAGATAGAGTGCAGGAAACAAATGGGATGGCTTGCTTTTGTGACACTCAACTATTGCTGCAGTGATGCTGCATAGTAAGTGTCCCTCAGATAGCAACATTTGACAACAGTAACCATTTACTTCCCTTACTCTCAGGTCTGTGGGTCAACCAGAGCATTTCCGCTACAACAACATCTGATACTCCTTCCAGGATATTTACGAGCTCTTTCACCATTGCTACTGTGTCAGATTTTTCAAGTTCCTATAAGTATTTTCTTGTTTTTCCATCACTCTATCTGAAAGCCAATACTACAGATTTTAGTTTGATTTTGGCAACCTTCTTCTCATATTAGTTTCTAGAATAACCCATTGCTGTGCATGTTGTGTAGCAAACAACTTGAGTATCGGTGGCTTTTGCCAGTGAACAATTACTTCTGTCTGTCCTGGTCTGGGGTCTGCTTTTAGACGGTGGGCGTTTGCGTCGTGGGCTTCTGGCAGAGGTCAAGTGTAGACATTAGGAGAGCACTAGGAAACAGTGTTAAGGTAGAAACAAGGTTCCTTTTGGGCAAAAAAAATGTTTAGAGGAGGGTTAAGGATACACAGGGCATTTTGTTGGTGATGAACAGCGAAGTTTAGATCATATGGTGAGAGAGATGGAGTCAGAAAGAGAGCTTTTTGCTGATATTTTGAGCAGCGGGGAAAGGGGAGGTATCTTATCCAGAACACATAGAGCTCTTCATCCCTCTGGTTGTTAAGTATCCTAAATTCTTTTTTAAAATATTTGACGACCTAAAAAATATATTAAGCACAAGATATGATGAGTTCATGAAACTCCATGAGAGACTGCAGAGAATTGAAGATCTGTTTCAGCTCAAAACAAACTGAGCCTAAATCTGGATTGATTGTTTGTCCAAAAGTTTAGGGTCCAGGTCCTGACTCCACATTGCCCATCTGCCTTGGGCAGCAGACTAGTTTTCTGCTCAAGAGCATTCTCCTACCAGAACTCTAGTTTTCTCCCATAAACATGGGGCATTTAAGAGCAGATGCCATGAGATATGATCTATAGTCATACAGAAGTGATGTGAACCAGAGCAGACATTAATTTGAAGCATTTCTAGGAAGTTCAGATTAGGGCCCTCTGGATCATTCTTAATATTCTCATAATAGGATAATAGTTAAGATCAGTTTTTAGAAATTGTGTCTTTTCCTTAAATGGGACTTTGGTGAGCCCATATTCTTTTTTTCCACCCTGGTAACTCAAGCTAAACTACTTTCCTCAGCTCACTTTTCCCAATAAACTGTCCATCAAGAGTCAAACATAAAATTCTTTCTATAAACTTTTTAGTAGAAGCTGGCATTTTTTTATGAAAAGAGCCAAATAAAATTTTTTGGCACTAAAGATCATATGATCTTTGTTGCAACTACTCAGTTCTCAGTGTGTAAGCAGTCAAAGTAACAAACGGATGAGCATGGCTGTGATCTGGACAACATGACAGACTGGTTTGCTGACTCCCACCTTATGTTCCTGGTCATACCGGTTACAGAGCTGCCCCACTCATAGGTATTAATTCATGTTTCAAGCCTGTAGAAATTCTGTATATTTCAGTGCTTTCCACTGTTAATATCAGAAGTGGAGGTGAGATTTGGTTATCACCTGCCCTTCAGTCTTTGACATTTCCTAGAATCTTGGGGCCCTCTGTTGAAGTGCTATGCTGAACAAGTCCCAGACTCCAGACAGATGCAGTTGCAGGTGTGCCTCCTCTGGATCAGCTCCTGTGGCCTGCAGGGTGGTGCTCTTTATTCCTGAACCTGTGTCGCTCCTGTAGGACTCTGCATTACACCACTGTGCTTGTGTTACTACTTAGTTTTAATGATAAAAACTGATAACTGGTTAGCAATTGGTTAGGATGATCCGACCAGGCTAATAAAGCCAGTCTTCTGTCTGTGGATTC